TTCTGGGTGGTCTGGGTGGTTGCTAGGCAGTTTTTAAATGGTTATATAATATTGATTTCAATTGATGTATTTTGTGCATATTGTGCATATTGGTTAATTAACAGCAAACTCATATGTGACCCTGCAGCACAAAAGCAGTCGTAAGTCGCTGGGATATATTTGTAGCTATAGCCAAAAAAAACATTGTAGGGGTCTAAAAATTTATGACAAAAATCATTAGGATATTAAGTAAAGATCATGTTCCATGAAGATATTTTGTAAGTTTCCTACTGTAAATATATCAAAACTTAATTTTTGATTAGTAATATAATATATAATATAATATAATAATGATTAGCTAAGAACTTCATTTGGACAACTTTAAAGATGATTTTCTCAATATTTAGATTTTTTTGCACCCTCAGATTCCAGATTTTCAAATAGTTGTATCTCAGCCAAATATTGTCCGATCCTAACAAACCATACATCAATGGAAAGCTTATTTATTCAGCTTTTTAAAAAAATTTCAAAACATTGACCTTTAAGACTGGCTTTGTGGTCCAGGGTCACATATGTAGTTCATCCAATCAGGTTTTATCGGTTTAATAATACATGCATTCATGATTTGATGAAGTTTATGGGATATTTTTAGAAGAATTATGTAGCCTACTTTTAAATGGCTGACAGAAATGTGCAACGAAAACTTTTATTTTTAACGAGTTGACAATTTGAGGCGACACGAGCGTCCGTTGACTATGCAACAAAATTACGCAGTTTAACTATATGCAAATGAGCAGCGACAGCCAATAGCATTGCATACAGTAGATACTGCAGTTGAGTAGAAACGCCTACTAAGTTAACCCACAATGCAGATTAAATCACTGTCAGTGTGAACGCACCTAAATTAATAAAGAAAAAACATAGGAAAATGTGCTTAACATTTAAATTCAACATGAATTCTATCGATTGAACAGTCCTCTATCGGAGCGCGAGAGTCACTCTGGTGGCTCACAGTCTTCAACCGTATTTATGATCGCTAGTTGCCTGGTAACACATAACTTACATAATATGTGACTCCTCGCCTCTCGGTCTGTGACGGATGAAGAGAATCACACGAGAACCAGAACAACAACAATCCCTCAGATCTGAACTCGCGCCGCTGCTCTACATTCTAGAACGCAGCTTCTAGATTCATTTGGTCTGCATTAATTGGTTGCCGTTGCATTTTGACTATATTACAGATGCATTTCACTACACCACATTATTTTTAAGGCAAGACACTACAGGCAAAAACATTCATCCATATTTTTTCATGCACTGGTTCATTTTGAGATTTTGGGCTTTTTGGCTTTTCAAAATGTTGTTTCAGTGGAAAGAAAGCATCCAAAATATTTAAGTGTTAATTTCATTGCATTTTATCTATTTGTGTCACTATAGATTTCGAAATTTTTAAAGGCCATTTTCTCATAATGAGTTTGTTTCTCGAATTCAACGGCACTTACATACACCAGTTTTATTCAGATTTATATTCTGAAGGTTTTTACTGAAGGGTTTGTTTATAGGTCATTTGACTGGTTTTATTTTTGCACTTAATCTATTTGCGTCAGTAAGTATTACATATCTTTAAAGGCCGTTTTCTCAAAATGAGTTCGATTCTCCACTTCAGCAGCACTTACATAAACCATACTTAACCGTTTTATTCATATCCATATTCTGAATTTTTTCAATAGAGGGGTTTGTTAATTTATCATTCAAACTGATTTATACAACGTTTTACTGCCTAAAACATGGTCAAATTTTAATTTTTTTCCCTTTTTAAACCTTTAATATGTCAACAAAATCAAATTTTGCACCTTAATTAAGATTGCTGTTCTGGGCATTTATTCGAATTAGTGCGTATTTAATCAGATAATGCATATTTAAACATAACATTTCAGAAAGCTAGTACCAACAACATTTGCAATTCTTAATGTAATCAATCAGCTGGAGAAGAAAGATGATATATATTATTTTTTCAGTTTATTTTACCCTAAACACCATGTGATGTCTTGCCTTAAACGTACACTTTGTACACTACCCAGAGTGCACACTGAATGTTCAATAATTCAGCGGTTCTTCGTCAATTATAAAACTCTACTGTTTAACTCTAGGGGAGTCGGAAAATGAGCCTATTTTCAAAAATAGTGGCGTGTTCCTTTAAGTCCCGGTCATATATTCACGCTGTATTTTGTGACTCTCACCTGACTCTGGAAACTTCTGGGTTCCTCCAGATTGGTGTTGCAGCATCCGATCAGACAGTTCTGTGCCGGAGACACGCCGCTGGAGAACTCATGGTCCTGAAACGAGCACAAAATACCATTAAACAGAACCGGACTGCTGTTCACTCCAGAACTAAGTCAATTTTGGATTATCACATCAAGATGAGCATCATTATTACGGATGGTGATGTGATTTCAAACCCTTTCTGCTCTTGTGAGAAGAACATCCGAGCATTTCCGCTGCTTTCCTGATGAATTATTAGCATAATGAGGCTGTGATGTGGAAGAGTGATTATTATAAATGTCTGTCTGTCGCTTTATTAAAGGCTGTTTCCTCCTGCGCAATGCACATGTGAAATGTGTGTATTTATGTGAATGGCTATTCATTTTTATAAATAAGTAATAAATAATAATTTACTAACGAAATTATACATATTATAAATGCATTATATACAAATTATAATTCATTATAAAGTTTTAGCATTTTCTTTAAATAAATGGTAAATTAATAACTATGTGTATCTCATCATGAATATTAACAGCTCACACTCATCATAATCTGATGATGTTAATATCTTACTTTGTAGGCCAGGCGTTCTCTGTGCTCCAGGTCTCTGGGCGTGTTTGGTAGGTACTCGTACCTGCTTCCGTCTCTATGGGTCCCGGGCAGGGTCATGTGATTGTAGTACGTCCTGCGAGAACAACAAACACTCATATATTACACTTATAAATATCTGTGTGAATATTATATGCTGATAATACAAGCCACGCCCCCTTCCTCCAGCACACATCTCTGGCTCCGCCCCCTTCATCTAAGATGCTGTTATTGTGTTTGCAAGGAGCTTCTGTGAGCTGCTAGCCGTTGCCGGCATACATGAACACACACACACACACACACTCACACTCACACACACACACACACACAGAGCTGCAGTGAGAGAGACGCGCAGCAGAATCAGACACACAGACAGAGCGTTGTCTCTCCTTTCTCTCTCTCTGAGCACTCGCTCCAGAACACAGACACTCCAGCACTCAGGCCCCGCCCACCTCTGCCACGTCCCCGCTGTGATTGGCCAGGCAGCCACGTCTGTTGGCGGAAAGCGAGAGCTGATTGGCTGGCGGGGTTCAGCCCTCATCAAACGCTCGTGGACTGGGTCTCCGCCGTTCAGTCGGAGCTGTGAAGACATAAATATGCACTTAATTAATGAGGGGAATTAATTAACGCACTCATCACTAGTCCTAGTATTAAAGTATTAAAGTTGAGTGTGTGCATCGTCCCTAAATCAAGAGCTGTGCTGGTACTAAGTGATCAGGTGCACCATTTTCAGCTGCTACATCAAAGAAATCACACAAAATAAACATGAAAAGAAACTGCATAGCATCCACCCACAACACTGTATCAAATATATAGCAATGTTAGGATTCTTGATATTTTCAAAGGACTGATACTTAAATGAGACTTATGAAATAGCAACGAAACAAGAACAAATATCTGTTTAAAGACAATAACTAAACAAATTACCTATGCTGCTGGTGTATTTCTGGCTCAGATGTGGCTCTTTTATAACTTAATGGAGATCTCACTTTGGTTTCATTTATGTATCAACTAAATCTCAGATGTTTCTCCTGAAATACCTTGAGAGAAATTAAAATGTAAATAGCAGCATTTTTGGAATTCATATTCTTGGAGTCAATTTTGAGATCTCAGACTTTCTCAAACTGTGCTCAGAGCTCTTCTATAACTCTAGAGGAGACGCATGTGAGATTACAGGGGTGTTTTTCTCAGTAGAAGCTGGAGACGTCAGGAGAAAGCCTAGGAGAAACAACTGAGACACTAAAGAGACCTCTCTGCCCATGCCAGCGTGTTTTCGTTGGGTTTTTAAGGATTTTGAGACCGAGTTGCCCTGCTAAACTCACTGGTGGGAGATTCGGGACGTGAGCGGAGCTGACAGCCGTCAGGAACATGCATGCGTCTCTCCTGCGGGCAACACATGCAGCGAGGAAAGTGCAAATCTGTGTCAAGCCATCAGAAGTTCCAGTAAACCAGAAGAGAGGCATGAATAAATAAACTCAGTGTCCTTAAAGTCAGGGCTCTGCGAGCGGCTCGGAGGAGAATTATGGGAGAGATGGAGACAAAAGGATGTGAAAGAATCAAGCACTCACGCTGGAGGAAAACCTGTAACGCAAATACAGCATTCGAGGTTGGGTTGGTTAGTTGTTATATATAAACACATAGGAATAATGTTGTTGCACTTTTAAAGCTCAAGAAACCTCACTGAGTTCTCAGGATCCACTTTGTCTCAAATGTTTCTCCTTAAAGAAAAGATGACAACAAATAAAAAACTTAATGTGGACAGCGGCTCAGCTCATTTGCTCTCGGGAGAATTTGATGAGAAAGGTCTGAGTTCAAATTGAGATCTCCGATGTTTTTGATTGGAGGATTCGGAATCTGAGCACAGTTTGAGACTTAAGAATTCTTTCTGAAATTCTGAAGTTGAACATCAGATTATCGGGGTCTTTTTCTCAGGAGAGACATCTGGGAAGCAGGAGACGCACCGGCGGTCTTATCTAGGAGAACAGCTGAAATATCGTGCTGATCGTT